GTAGGGAAAAACCCAGGCCCACAGTAAGCACCCCAGAGAGCTGCTCTGTTCTGGGAGGAGCAGGCAGAGGACACCTGGGTCTCCGCTGACACCCTGTGGGAGGCGGGGTTTGTGCAGGCACAGAGGGAGGGTGCGGCTTCTGCTGACCAGCAGGTGAGTTTAATGAGAGGTCAGTGAGAAAAGCTCTAGCTTAGAACTTGATGAAACCGTAAAAACGCAAGCCGACGTAGGTTTAACGAAGGCCACGACAACCGGCACAGTCTGCATTCTTCCCAAATCCCTCCCCACACCCAGATACCACGCCCGCTGGAGCCCGTGCCTGGACGGCTGCTCGGAGCACCCTGTGGGCGAGAGAACCGTGTCCCCTTCTTCAGTATGGAAGTGAAAAGCCTGAAAACATCTGAAAGTGCCTCTGCCCCAAAACGCCGCCACCAGTAACAGAATTCTGCGGACGTTTCGCCGTGGAACGGATTTTAAATGCCCGGAGACGGCGTGTGCGAGCCACGGAGGAGGCGGCACGTCACCCGGGACGACCCGCTCACCTGTGCGAAGGGGACTGGGCATGTGGCGCTCCTTCCACAGGACTACGGGCAGCAGGAGCAGGCGAAGGCTCAGACCGCTGGCCAGGCAGCCAGCGTGGCCGTCAGCGCCATCTGAGATTGGCCAGAACTAGCTGCTCCCGACTGCACGCAACGCGATGTCGTCACACCGTCCGTCCGTCCGTCCGTCCGTCCGTCCGTCAGGGATGGGAGGCCCCCGGCCTGGGAGCCCGCCCTCCACCGCGCTTCCCAACAACGGGACCACGCCATGGAAAACTGTTCTTGTATCTCAACCCTCCTGTCATGTCACTGAGAAAGAAATCCCGGTATCTCGGGAGGACGGTTTGGGGACCCCCACGGGGGACCTGGTGATGGCTGATGGCCAAGGTCCAGTCCGTGGCCCCGAAGCCGAGCCCACGACAGCTGTAACGCCTGCCACTTGGCCCCTCGAGGCAGCGCCCGGCGTGATGGCTGATTCTCCCCTGCTCCCGCCTCCTCCATCTCGTCACCCCACTGCACCCGAACACCACTGCCTGCACACGCGACGAACGTCGAGCACCGGCTAGTTACAGTATTTCACCTGAGACACAAACGACTGAGACGGGGCCCTGCTCCCGTGACTCCCAGGCCAGCAGGCAGCCCTAGCGGACAGCACCTTAGGGCGCCCGGAGAGCAGGGCGCGGGCACGCTGTGCGCCCTCAGGACAGAAATGGTCGTACGGAGTGAGGATGCAGATGGCTGCCGGCCCGGC